TATAATGAAATATTTTGGCGACATAAGTTGGCTACTCGAAAACAACAATCGGGCGAGAGTTTAGACGCGTTTTTGCAAAGATTATAATTTTTGTGATAGCGCGTCAAATCAATATCGTTACAAAGATGTGCGAGATGCGTTTACAGCAGGGATATTTTCAACTAATATTCACCAACGCCTTCTAGAGAATAAAACACAACATCTTCTGACAGCTTTGATCTAGCCCGAGCTTTAGCCACGACTCAGAGAACCGAGGTAACATACGCAGATAGAACTCGCAATCTTGGATTGCAACCAACCTCCACAGAATTATCAAACAATGTTGCTCACCCATAACGGCTGGTGCCCACAATAGTATTAATAACAATAGAAACTACAGATATAATTTTCCCAAGAATAATTATAACAATCATTGACAGTTCCTTGTTGGGCTTAAGACCATCATTAAGTTCTGGTTGGTATAAGATTTATGATAAAGAATGGTTCTATTAGTAAAAGTCAGTTTCTGTTTAAGTTTGTGTTTGAGTAAAGTATTTTATAGTTGTTAAATATAAGATTTGTAATGTTTAAATTACATTTGTCGAAAAATGTTTTGTGAACGGTTCTGTTGTTGTTTTCAGAAGTTATGTCTCGTACTTTTTGGCATTGTAAAAAGTGTTATGAAATTTCGTTTGGCATGTTCGGGAAGTAAAATTTTAAGGCATTTCTCAGCTTTACTAATGTAGGATTTGTTAAAGCCAGGCTAAGTAACTTGATAAAAGAAACATTAAAACACATTGAAACGAGAGAGGGGGAGATTTTGTCCATAATGGAAGTGAATAAACGACCTTTTTAGTATCAAAAATAATGATGATTTTTATAATAGTGTCAATGAAAAAATAATGAATACTGTGAAAGTAATGAATAATTTCTCACAAACTCCAACCACCGACCAAAATCAACCTAAAATATTCATAAAATTATCATCAAGGCTCACAAGACTCAAAAATTACTATAAATGTCTCAGAAAACGTTGCAAATGTCTCGTCAAACTGGCGTAATTTATCATTATTGAGTTAAGCATGGATCTTTTTCGGAGTACGTTTCTCTATACTTCATAAAATTGTCGACAGGTTAAATGGATTTTGACACCACATGCTTTGCCAACTTTTTTGTGTCTCATTCTAATATAAAATTCGTTTTTATTATATACGACAAGTTTTTTTAAAATAGACATGTTTCGACATCTCATAATGCCATCTTCAATATAAGTGAAATAATAAATAATACAAGGTTTCTATAAATATAATACGATACATGAATTACAACAATAATATGGAAATAAGATAAATTAATGGGGAGCGTCCGAGCGTATGACAAACTAAATTTTAAACAAAAAGAATGTAGCATAATGCTATAACCAACAACTGCAAACAATAACGACCTTATCTAACAACATTTGAGAAATTAACCTTCCACTCCTCTTCCTTGGAAACGGGACAATTCTATTCAAAAGCAGAGAGCCTTATATGGTACAAGTCCTGGGCTTGTGACTGGTATAGCAGAGTTAAGAGGTGAAAGGTTTATCATAGATTAATCAACTGAATATTCCTGCTCATTTTTTTTTGGAAGCATTCTGAGCAGTTCATATGGACAAAGCTCGAATTCCATATTAAATAAACAGTAACATAATCCGGTGTTAATGTTAAGATAAGGTCGTTATTGTTTGTAGTTGTTGGTTATAGCATTATGCTATCATTCTTTTTTTTAATATGATATTCCAACTATTTAACCTTGTGATTAAACTAAATATTGTATTGAATTTAAAAACTTGAATATTGAGGTCAGGGTTAGTTTTGTTAATGTGGAGTGCTTTTTGATTTTAAGGAGAATAAGGTGTCGGCAGTGTCGATGTTTTTACTAACGAAACTGAGGCCATGAAGTTTTATAATTACATTAACACACAGCACGCAAACATTGGATTTTCATTTGAAACTGAACAACAAGATCAACTGCCATTTCTTGCCATTTTACTAACAAAATCCCATGACAGCTGTACAACATCCACATATCACAAACCATCGTACACAGGACTTCTGATGAACTATTTTAGTTTCACACCACTTTCAAACAAAACAGGACTTATACGCACACTAATCGACAGAGCATACAAATTTAACAATACGAACAATTTCTTTCAACAAGACATAAAAAACATCACATCCACTCTTTTACGAAACTCTTTCCCACTACACTTTATTAACAGAACCGTAAAACAATATCTCGACAACAAACATAGCAACAACCTCAAACCAGACACCAAAACTCCTCACACGACGATCACACCAACACAAATGAAAATTCCAATATAAAAACTCTATACTTCAAACTACCACCATACATCGGCAGAAACCAGCTGCATCAAATTTTAAAATACTTTTCTTTTCTCTAGAATTCAAGTACAGTCTCTGAGCAAAATGGCCACACAAACATGTAAATGGTTCAGATTTTTTACATTTTAGTATAAATTATTCTTATTTTTGAGCAAACGATCGCAGTATATAGAACCTATTGCTATAAATATTAAAGAAACAAAAATTTGTTAATGTGTACGGGCCATGGACAGGCTTATGAAAACCGAGAAGACCTTTGAAATTAAGACTATGGTTCAAAAGCAAAAGAGCTACTGAACTTTAAAAAATGATAATTTTCCTTGTAGCTCTAATAATTAATTTATCATCATGCATCAATATGATTCTGAGATAAAACGGAAACTTAATTATTAACTGTAAAAACAAAAAGGTCTGACAGACAAGTTTTTTGAGGATGTACTTTGCGCATCCATTGATGGATGCATTTATGCAAATGCTATATATTTATCATACTATGAATCATAACTGACAGTTCTTTGGACCTGTCCTTTTTCAAAATTGACAAAGTCACAGTTTTAGCTCGTTATTAAATAAAGTAGTATAAAGCAAAAGCAGTTTGAAGCTTTAAAATAAAGTATTTACTTCCTTGTTAAATAGAGCATTAAACAATAAATATTGTCGTTTTTATTTATCTTTGTTTGGAAGAAGATCGTAAAAATTTTTTCATGTCTAAACGCTATGTCAACTTAAGTAAAACAAACTTCAGTTTGAAATGTTAACAAAATCTGGGAAAATGCATGAAAAACGATTACATGGTGTAATTTTCGTCCTAGTGCTGAGTTCAACACTTGGCTGAAATTTCAACCCGGTTCGCTGACACAGGGTTAAAATTTCAGCAGTGCATGGAGTTGAACTCAGCACGAGGTTGAAAATTTGCCATACAATCGTGTGTTTCATATAAAAAATATATCGTATAAAGACTGGGATGAAATTTCAACTCACTTGACGGGACTCGGTTCAGCTCAGGGTTGAAAAATTGACCTTCCTGTAGCTCTATTAAGCAGTCTAATAATCAATGACAAACCAATAAGAATCCAGAATAAAACTGAAGCACGGGTCTTATTACGAATATAAACTAAAAATAGGAGGCTAGTGCTCATATTTTACCATTACTTTGTGATGGTTACAGGAGCTTAATTATCTAAACAATAAATATAAAGAGTTAAATAATGGATTGTTTTCATCTCTTGGTTTTATTATTGGCATGGCAGATTTCAAGTATTCATATGTCTAAAGTGAACAAGGCAAGATTTATTGGATGTATTGTTTAAAAAACTATAATGAAAACAAAGCAGTTTTGATTTAGTAGCTGCGTCTTATTTGTAGGAATTGTTTTTCTTTGTAATCATGTTCAAGTAACAAAGATAAATTAACTTTTTACATAAATAAATGTTTTTAGTTGTCAAATACCTTTACTAAAGTAAGACGTTCATAGTAGAAATTCCCACGTAAAAACTCTTTTTTTAAACCTCTGTTCAGACATATTTTTACATGTCTCGACATGTTTTGGCGGTTTATTTGTCATGTTTTATCGGATCAATGATTAATTGCGTCAAACCAAGAACGTAGACACGACACCAGAGATTTGCAGCGTAATCAAGTTTTAAAAACTTCATACACTTGCTCTTTATTATGTTATGATAAAATTAGTTAAATGAAGATATGATCTTCGCACTTTGCTGGACAATTTAAGCAATTGTCTCAGGACCTGAAAAAATCAGGTGACTCAACGGGATTCGAACCCATGACCTCTGCGGTGCCGGTGCAGTGCTCTGACCACTGAGCTATGAAGTCGCAACAGTGGTGAGCAGGTCAATATTGTTGGGCTCATGTTCTCTCGTGAAATGAATGTCATGTGAATGTTGAGTCACCTGATTTTTTCAGGTCCTGAGACAATTGCTTAAATTGTCCAGCAAAGTGCGAAGATCATATCTTCATTTAATTTCAAACAGCGCACTGCATAAAACATTCACATGACATTCATTTCACGAGAGAACATGAGCCCAACAATATTGACCTGCTCACCACTGTTGCGACTTCATAGCTCAGTGGTCAGAGCACTGCACCGGCACCGCAGAGGTCATGGGTTCGAATCCCGTTGAGTCACCTGATTTTTTCAGGTCCTGAGACAATTGCTTAAATTGTCCAGCAAAGTGCGAAGATCATATCTTCATTTAATTTCAAACACCGCACTGCATAAAACATTCAGATAAAATTAGTATTAATAAAAAAGTCCAAACATGCTAAATATTTGGTTTAATTTTGAGAACAAGTTTGCTATTTACCATGGTGTCCTAAAAAACCGTAAAAACAAGATGACATGACAAAGAATATAAGAATACATGCAAATTTCTGAGCAAAAATCTTCACTACAACTTATAATGTAGCATCTATTTCCCCATATTTATCTATGATTTAGTGTGTATAGTTCAAGTTACCATATGTAAACTTAATTTAAATATAATAAATAATTTATTTCCTGTTATTAAGGACAATTGTTCAACCAGCTGCTGTGGAACAACAGGTATCCCAGGTGTACCGGTGTCCCCGGTGTACCTGGTGCTCCAGGAAGAGACGGGGTAAAAGGAGATGCTGGATCACCAGGAGAGAAGGAAATCCTGGAAAAGTAATTTAAAATTTACTAAAGGTGAGAAGGGAGATCCAGGAAGTACCGGGTTACAAGGTATAAAAGGTGAAAAAGGAGAATCTGACGCTCATGCAAACGATGAAATATTTTTGTCTACATGGAAGCAATGTGCTTGGCGGAGAGAGGACGGGAAAGATCATGGATTGATACAGGTATGTTGAGAAAACAAAATAAAATTATTTCTTCATACTTAATTTTTTTTCTTACATAAAGAACAAGGGAAATGTTTATTTTATTATTTGGATGAAACTTGAATAATTAATATTTTTGTCTTAAATTTATTTGAAAAGTTTGGCTTCAGTTAATGGGAAATTATCTACCTGAATTTAATTTTAGAACTGTTTATTCACGAAAAAGTTTGACAACACCTCCCTTCAAGTGTTTTATGGAGGAACCTTGCGAATTCATGGGTGCAATAATTGTTGCAAACGTTGGCATTTTACTTTCAATGGAGTTGAATGTAAAAACCCTCTTCCTATTGATGGAGTTTTTTACATGGCCAATGGAAAGTCACAAGATATCCATCGACATCGTCACATTGAAGGATATTGTAACAAAATCCATAAAGGAAAAGTGCAAGTTGGATTCCGGGTCGGCAATTGTGCTGGTTATGGTAACGCAGATGCATTCAGTGGATGGAAATCAGTTTCTCGTATTGTTATTAAAGAGGTTCCTCCTCCACAAGAATAATTCTTTATTCACTTTTCTATTTAACTCTATTTTATGTTAAAGCTTCCGTTTAGTTAAAATCCATGTGTATTTTATGACAATAATTCAGTTTTGTAAATTTATCGAGTTGGAAATAGTCCAACAAAAAAGCGTTTGAAAGTAACAAGTGTGGAGTATCATCAAGTATTTCATAAAAAATTGCCTCTTCGTTGCAAAAAGAAGCATGCTAATAACTATATCACAACAATGATCCCAGACATAAGTTAAGAGCGCGCTGTATCATCAAACAAGGTGAGATACTTTTCATTTTCGCAACCTCGACTGACGAGCTCTTTTTTACAAATTATAATTTTCACTCACAATTTACGTTCCAGAATGCACTTGAAGAGCCAGTTGAGCAAGAATTGTTGTATGACAGTTAAACAGAGGAAATCCAGGCATCACAAGAAAGCACTAAAGTATCGCCAATCAACAACTTGGAACAACAAGAAAGGTCAGTGATTCATTGCAAAACGAGCTGAAATTGTGATTGTATCTTGATGCACTATGTTTTTAAATAATATAGCACCTACACTGATACTTGCAAACAGTTGACATACAATTCATTGTTTCTGACTCCAAGGCAACGAATAAATGCCTTTATAGAAAGACAGTGTCTTGGGGATACTGTGCAGGAATTTGGTCCTGTGAATGTATCAACAGTAGATCTTTGGTCACTTGTCAGTCCAAAAGATATAACTGAAAAAGAATTAAAAATTATTGAAAAAGAAGTTACCACATTCAAACCTGGTTGGATGACTGACTCTGTAAGAGAAAAAAGCGTCTAATATAGTCTTCTTATTTATCATTATAAGTCATTGTTTATAACCATGAGTGCTATGTACACGTAAAACTGGACAGGAAATCTCTTCAAACTATGCTTTCTTTTGATTTTAGGTAATTGACGCTTTTTTGTGGAGTTTGACTGAAAACTACACTACTGTTCTTGCAGCAGAATCATTTATTTCAGAGATTGTTAAAAACAACTCAAGCACAAGACGCACATGGGCTAATAGATCTTTTCACCAAACCAAAATTATCCTTTTTCCAATCAACATCCAAGAAATTCAATGGACACTACTGGTAAGTATTTGAGCTAATCAATGAAGGCAATAAAAAAATATAGACATGCATTATATACATACTTAGCCCACATCAGTCCACATATTAACATGCAAAAATTAGTATCTATAGAAACATTAACTAATTTAATTCCTTAATTAACAAAGAGAAAATTTTTAACTAAATGCAACAGTAATTTTGTGTAATATAGGCTATAGATAAGTTCTCAAAAACAAGACTCTCCTTGACCAACTTGGAGGAAGTGCAGACAAAAAGACACCTGATACACAGATGATGTATCGTATAAACAAACAAAGTGGTCATGTTTGTCACTGCTTTAGTAGATGTAAAAACAGGTTGGAACTCAAGCTCATGGCAATGTTCTGAGCTACTCCATTGTAAACAGGAAGATATGTATAACTGTGGAATGTACATATGCTTGGTAAGCTTGAAATAGCCTAACTTTACTTGAATACGTTTGTAAATGTTGATCGTCCAGGTTGGTACAGTCCTAAGAAGGACTATTTTCGTTGTTGTTGATTGACGTTTCGACAACCTTAGTCTTTTACTTGAATAGCTATTTTACAAACATGATTATTCAGTAACTGCTCATTTCGCATCAGTTTGCTTGATGTCTAGCCCTTGGCTTAGACTATCAAAAACTGGTTTGCAAACATGGAGACTGAGAGAAAACGAATCATTTCAACATTACTTGGGTCTTGCTATGATGATATTACACGATAAGGCATAAATAACATTTAGTTGAATATTTTTATATGGAATTCATTATGAATATCTTTAGGGAGCAAATTGTGGCTGTTTGCAAAATATGCAGACAGGATGACAATGAAGACTGGCTGGGTTGTGATCAATGTGGTCAATTTTTTCATGCAAGTTGCCTTAATGTTGACTTTGCCATAACCTTGTCAACTCATTTTAGATGCAGATAAAATTATCAATATTATTTGACATGCAACAAAATCATTGTTATGGTATCAATTCAAATTGTGCAATTAAAATGAGTGCTTCAAAATATAGTAATGTATGAATGATAAATACTTTAATTTAAGGTAAAATGTGCTTGCCACTAATTGAATCTCACACATGCAATGAATAGTTTGAAACTGTTGATGAAATGTTACAATAAACTACAAGTTTTACAAATATATCTGAAATAAAATGGCTTATTCCTATTTCTTACCTTTGTGATGATTCTTCTGGCCAAAAATTTTCAAAAATTCATGTAAATGCATCTGCATGATTACTCTGATACGAAATTCAAATGCAAAATCAAAGTTGAATGAACTTTTGAGAGATAGTCACTGATCTGATAATAGACTGGATATAGCTTCTACAGGTATCAAAAGTGAAGCCTAATTATATATGCAAAATTAACTTCCGGGTACCACGGCGAGATACAAATTACTACAAAAATGTATGGCGGATAACGTTTACAAACATGGATTTTCGAATATTTAAGACCTTTCGCGACTCCTTACTAACCTCAAGTATTAGTCATGGATAAAACAGGTTATGCGAATCGATTTGACATCAAAATGATTCCTATAGCTGTAAAATATCGACGTTAGTGTTGATTTAAAAGTTGTACATGCGAGAATGTATTTTGTCCCATCGTTGCCAATGCAAGATAGTTCACTGCTCGCTTTCCAATTTCTGAGGCATTTATGATCTAGTATACGTTTCAGTTCTTTACAAATGAGGTGAGTTACTTTTTTTATTATTCTTTCTTTATGTTGAGAGATTGTTGACATTTTATTTTTGCTGAAACTTCATTTTTTCATGAGCAAAGTACTACTGATGCTTAAACAAGACAAGTCTATTTAGTTTCTTTCGCACTTTATCTTTAGTTTCCATTTTTGTAGTTGTTTTTCTCAAATGGTATACTCGCACTTTGCGCTTAATTATTTAAAGAAGTATGATTTTCGTTGACATTAAAATCCCACAAATGCGTTCTACACACATTAGGACACTTTAGTAAACTGCTTTTGAAACATCAAGGTAATGTAGCCAGCCAGGTATGAATTCGCAGGCCCTTTAAGAGAGCAAAAGCTGGGTGCATTGTTTAATCTTTATAATCATCTTGGTTTTGGTTTGTCTATTAAGCAGATTTAAATTATTAAAAGCAACATAAGACTGTGTCCACAGTTTATAATTATAAGTGTATCCAATTGTATCCAGTATATCAGTTTCACATTGTCTTGTGCTAATTCCTTTACAGCCATGAATACTGCTTCTCAGCAACAGTTTATTGTCTACAGCTGTAAATTGTTCAACTGTTCAATTATTAAAGTCACACTTCACAAGTGGAATAAAGCTCTTGTCTTTCTTATTACTACAAGACTCAAGACTGATGATCAAACTATTGCTGAAAAGGATTCTAATGTCAACTGCAATTCATATTTATACCATCCCTAACTACATTCATATCTTAAGAATAATTTTAATCTTTTTGGAAAAATATTTAAGGCATTAATATTACATTCATACTAACTATGATCTTCTGGAATTTGCTTAGCACTTAGAAGAGGAAAATGAAATTTACTGAATGTAAAAAGGCAGTAATATCGTACATGGCTGGCTATATTGCCCAGATGGTGCAAAAGAAAATAAACTGTCCTGTTTGTCACGAAGCAGTTGGTTCAAGAAACCATAAAAATGAGTCTGCTTTCTTGACTTTAAAAGACAGGGGTAATTTGTTTAAGCCAACAGCAAGTGTTATAAATATGCAATGAAACAGAGAGGTGCTTTCAGAGAATGTTGGCAGCTACAAATGGAAATTTACTGCAAGGGAAAGGAATTCCTGATGGTATTGCTGTGTCCGTATTAAATGGTATAGATTTGAGGACCACATTCAAGGATCTCGACGCAGACATGTTGAATACTACTGTTCATGAAAATCATATTTACTCATTAAGACCATATATATAAATGTTACAGCAAAGTGCGAGTATACCATTTGAGAAAAACAACTACAGAAATGGAAACTAAAGATAAAGTGCGAAAGAAACTAAATAGACTTGTCTTGTTTAAGCATCAGTAGTACTTTGCTCATGAAAAAATGAAGTTACAGCAAAAATAAAATGTCAACAATCTCTCAACATAAAGAAAGAATGATAAAAAAAGTAACTCACCTCATTTCTAAAGAACTGAAACTTATACTAGATCATAAATGCCTCAGAAATTGGAAAGCGAGCAGTGAACTATCTTGCATTGGCAACGATGGGACAAAATGCATTCTCGCATGTACAACTTTTAAATCAACACTAACGTCGATGTTTTACAGCTATAGGAATCATTTTGATGTCAAATCGATTCGCATAACCTGTTTTATCCATGACTAATACTTGAGGTTAGTAAGGAGTCGCGAAAGGTCTTAAATATTCGAAAATCCATGTTTGTAAACGTTATCCGCCATACATTTTTATAGTAATTTGTATCTCGCCGTGGTACCCGGAAGTTAATTTTGCATATATAATTAGGCTTCACTTTTGACACCTGTAGAAGCTATAGCCAGTCTATTATCAGATCAGTGACTATCTCTCAAAAGTTCATTCAACTTTGATTTTGCGTTTGAATTTCGTATCAGAGTAATCATGCAGATGCATTGTAATCCCTATGTAATCAATTATTCATTGTTTGTAAAACTGCCTGCAGGCTCAGCCTCCCTCTCCGCCCTTGGTAAATTCAATCCCACGTACTGACCTCTTGCTCACAAACGTAAAATAGCAACACTAAAAGATGCGAATTTCATTTCAATCATTGAGAGTTTATGTTCCGTGTTCATATATGTAGCGAAATCATCCTTACCACGCTCAGTATTGGTATTTTTTCCTAGTTTGATATTTTCTGTTTGAATATCATTGCTATTTCTTTTGTACACAAACTTTATTCAAATTTTAGTAATTGATATTAATTTGTCGTTGGAAAATTTGATCAATTTCTTGACATTTGTGGCATCAGTCTAGATACTCGTCTTCCAAACCTTTATCAGTGTACTACAGGTATTCTTGGTAGTAGCTTTAAAAGAAAATTATAGCCATTAAAGTTTAATAATATTGTATTGCGGAAATAGTGTTGTTGTGTTGGTTAAAATAGCAGAATTAGCAAAAATCAGAGCAGTCGTTTAACTTACAAATAAGTAAGTCTTAAAATCGTAACTTGTGACTTCCATAATTAACTGGCTATTTGTGATAAATTTTGAGATATTTGTGACGCTGTAATTGTGGGATAGAGATACAAGTCATGCAAATGACTCAAGTACAACTAAAAAAAAATCATGTTTCTTACTGCAAACAATTTCTACTTTTAAGGAGTAATCTTAATGTTGACGCCGTCATTGCAGTGGTAGACAAGATAGAAAATCAATTTAGCAATTTTTCGACTTAGCATAACAATAAATAGAATCTTCTAAAGAAAGATTTGACAGTGCGATAACATTCACTCCTGTTATGCAAAGTAGACACTTATTTATTTTGACTATTTATATCAAAAGACACGTTATTAGATATAAGAACAAAGATTTATTATTATTTTGCATAACTTTATTTGAATTTGAAGTACACCTGCGATTAAAATATTTTGCTGAAAGGAAGTGAAGTTTGATTTATTGCACGAAGATAAGTAAAACCTATACTTTCTATATTGAATGACGCAAAACTTTGCTAAATAAGGAAATTATTTCTGCCTAATCGAAATAATTCAAAATCTTGTCATTGCTGTATTGTAACAGTATTAATCATACCATTTAAACTATAAAGAAATTTTGTCTCATAGTACGTGCATGATTAAAAGGACAAAGTGTTCTTGATAGCACAAGACAAAAACCCAAAAGATAACACTGTGAAGGTTTGTATATCAGATCATGGCACTTTTACAGCAATGCAAACGAAGTCGAGTCTGTGATGTGTACATAATGCGCACAAGAATGTCAACTAACTTCACATATAGACGTTTATGCTTGCATACTTATAAAGAATCCGCGCTGTTCACCATTAACCACGAATCAATGCCATACAAAACATGTTTTATAAAATTTTTGTCGAGGCTATTTATGCTGTTTTGGCAGTTGTCAACTTGGCATCATAGAGATATCGAAGGTTTTATAGACAATTAATTGAAGCAATTACGTTTGCAGAATAGCTTATAAGCAATGAAAAAAATTTGAGTTAATAAATAACAAAGAACTTAAGATATTTACAAAATGATCAATTACTTATCAGTCGAAGATGCAAAATTTTTATTTCATAGCAGTTGCTTCTAGCAGGATTTAAAATTAATCATTCCTCCCTATTAAATGAGCTTCGACAATCTACCGTTCAACTTCCTAAACAATTCCAAACCTGAAAGCTATATTGGCTTATAAATCAGTAGCATTACCAAAAATACAACTATCACGTTAGGCAAAAATAAAGTGAAGAGACTTAAATATTATGCTGCGTACTTACTTCTCTTCTAGACTTTGATGAGTGAACTCTATTAATGACAGTTCAACACATTATAGTTCCACCGAAACCTAAACCAATCATTTCGCCAATTAGCAAAAAACACGCGTGATCTGCACGATGTCCTAAACGAATCACAATTGTCTTTTTTAATTGTCACTCGTGCATGTAACTCACACGGATTGCAAAGTAAAAATAAACTTACTGTCAATAGATTAAGAACGTGCAGTAGCAATGATAAAAATTTACTTTAGTGTTGTTCCTCTAATTCTGTGTTAGAAGAACTGGATTATATATGGTTGAGTGGTGCTAATTATTATTCTGTAATGCACCTGATATTTAGAATGCATTATCTAGATCATATAAAGGAGAGTGTCGTTTACATAAAAAATAAAGTTTTTGATTGATGATCGTGCATTTAACAACTTTCATGGTCAAACATATGTCTAGCTAAAATGCTTTATACTTCTTGTTAAGAGCCAATACTCAGCAACCTGTTGGGGCTTTTGATTTGAGAATCGCTGGTGCTACAGAAAATTGTAAAAAATGAAAGACATTTATCCAAATGATAAAAATGACGCTATAACTTGCATGGAACTTCTTTTCAAAGTAATCACTGATGCAATTAAAGCAAAACAAATTAAAATAATTTTACCATTTCCATTTCTCTTGTTTTTATGCACTCGTTAACCGTTGTAGATGTGAGTCAGTATGAGTCGAAGAAATTTTTGGTTTAATAAACATCCTAAAAAGAGGATTTTATGCTCATTTTATGCTAATTATTCATAACCATTCATATTCAACTCCAAATTTTAAGCAAACAATTGTACATTACCATCATAATCATGAATTTGCTTAGAGATGTCGTGTCTACTCTATTCATTTCTCCATTATCAAAAAACAATGTTGCTGAAGCGGAAATGAAGCCGTTTTATTGCAAATACTTAAAACAGAGGACTAAAGTTAGCTCTTCATTACAAGCAAAACAATCAATTGATGAGCACTTAAAGAAGTAAAGTGAGGTGGGAAAATGATAAAAGTGAAGATGAATATTTTAATGGTATCCATGTTGTTGCTATCAAATACAGTCAGTGCATCGGTTAAGAAAAAGAACTCAAAGGTTTGGAAGCATTAACTTTGTGAAATGGTTTAAGTTAAAATTTCGGTTCAAGAATCAAATGCATATTTTAACGCAATAGTCTTTTTTTAAGGTCGCGAGGAATTTTGTTCGTGTAGTTTATTTATACTTCTTGAGTATTAAAATTATAATATGCAAACTCTTTTGTATAAGCAACCAGCAAATAGATTCATGTGAATTAAGGTGGAAAAGGGCGTTGTTCAACTCGGGACATCTTAAAGAAATTTACAAAAACGAGATAATATTATCCGTTGAAAAATACATTAGGATAGGAGAGACTTCAAAGCAATAGAAACCTGTTATAATTCCTTCAACCATATTGAATTTGAGGCAGAATTCAATATTTATAAAGCCTTCACTGTTTAGGTAAAAACATTTTTCTCTACCGTTTTCAAGGCTCAATATTCAGCAAGCTATGGAATTCCTGGGGTTCGAGGAGTTCCTGGTGTACCTGGAGCAGCCAGACGACACGGTTTAAAAGGAGACGTAGGATCTAAAGGAGAAAAAGGTGAACGAGGTAATCCTGATCCTCCGTTGAAAAATGACATGAGCTTTGCAATCTATAATCGCTAAAGTACCAAAAAAGGGGACTTCCTTAGAGAGAAAAATAGGAATAGTTGATATGGTTTGGTATTTTCTGTCATCTATTTACAAAGTGTTGTTTCTTTACTATGACTTTCATACAATATATGTTGACTCATTATGGAAGTCATTTCAAAATTTTCACAATAATCTTAGTACTTAGGTCAACCATCTTAGTCAAAAAATTATATTGAGTTTGTCAGACTGGCATTTCAGTCAATTGAATTCCATAGCGACTTTACATCAATATTGCATCCGATATTTTTTCGACGATGAAGTGAGAAAATTAAACGTTTTAATCAATTATGTTTCAGCAGACGTTTATATTAGCTCTTCTGCGAGACGATGATTTATGAAGAAGTCATCAAACTGTTGAAAAATCTTTATATTAAAACTCCTATAATGAAATATTATGGCGACATAAGTTGGCTACTCGAAAACAACAATCGGGCGAGAGTTTAGACGCGTTTTTGCAAAGATTATAATTTTTGTGATGGTGCATCTAATCAATATCGTTACGAAGATGTGCGAGATGCGTTTATAGCAGGGATATTTTCAACTAATATTCACCAACGCCTTCTAGAGAATAAAACACAACATCTTCTGACAGCTTTTGATCCTACCCGAGCTTTAGACACGGCTCAGAGAACCTCGGAAACTTACGCAGATAGAACTCCCAATCTTGGATTGCAACCAACCTCCAAGGAATTATCAAACAATGTTGCTCACCCACGACGGCTGGTGCCCACAATAGTATTGATAAATATAGAAACTATAGATATAATTTTCCCAAGAATAATTATAACAAACAAAATATATTTCTGAAAAAACCAAATTCGATGAAGTTTCATTTTTACGATACAAATTTAATGAAGAAAAAGTTGCAATTTTCTAACACCCGTGAGTAAAGCTTTTTGATCGACGATTTTTGTAGACAAAAAACGTTAATGATCAGAGAGCACAACGGTGATACTAACATGTATCCTTATCAAACGTCACAACTAGCCCAAACACCAGAATCAGTTACAGGTATTTTTGATGGTCTGGGAATCATTAATCGTTATGGATCTCAACCACACATGGTTTCGCTTAACCCTACAACTGAAGATAAGAAGAGGTGGAGACAGCCACCGGTGGAATACATTTTATTGAATATTATGACACTTTAATATTTCAAAATTATTGCAAATTCATCATCAAAATTTATTTATAAGCTAACTATGCCTTTATGTATATGTGGGTGATTGCATTATTTCAAAGAAAGTGTGAGTACGGAAAAGTGAATTTGATGGGGAGAATAAGTTGATTGTGTGGCTTTAAAATCAAATATTGACAGCTCCTTGCTGAGCTTAATCTCATCATTAAGTTCTGTTTAGTATAAGATTTACAATAAAGAATGGTTCTATTCGTGAAAGTCAGTTTCTGTTTAAGTGTGTGTTTGAGTAAAGTGTTTTGTAGTTGTTAAATATAAGATTTGTAATGTTTAAATTACATTTGTCGAAAAATGTTTTGTGAACGGTTCTGTTGTTGTTTTGAGAAGTTATGTCTCGTACTTTTTGGCATTCTAAAAAGTGTTATGAAATTTCGTTTGGCATGTTCGGGAAGTAGAAATTTAAGGCATCTCTCAGCTTTACTAATGTAGGATTTGTTAAAGCCAGGCTAATTAACTTGATAAAGGAAACATTAAAATACATTAAAACGAAAGAAGGGGAGATTTTATCTAAAATGGAAGTGAATAAACGACCTTTTTAGTATCAAAAATAATGATGATTTTTATAATAGTGTCAATGAAAAAATAATGAATACTATCAAAGTAATGAATAATTTCTCACAAACTTCAACCACCGACCAAAATCAACCTAAAATATGGATAAAATTATCATCAAGGCTCACAAGACTCAAAAATTACTATAATTGTCTCAGAAAACGTTGCAAATGTCTCGTCAAACTGGTGTAATTTATCATTATTGAGTTAAGCATGGATCTTTTTCGGAGTATGTTTCTCTATACTTCATAAAATTGTGGACAGGTTAAATGGATTTTGACACCACATGCTTTGCCAACTTTTTTGTTTCTCATTCTAATATAAAATTCGTTTTTAATATATAGCAATAGTGCTTATACGAAACTATAAATTCGTTATTATTTTGTAGATGGCATTTGCCTTAATGGATGAAATTATTTAAAAATCATAGTTATATATAGAAATAAAGCTAAATATAGGTAACAGCCAGGAGTGAAATCAATCAAATATAATAGATGAGCATAGCATACATGACGTAGCTACTGTATTTTTATAGATTTTTTATAAATTGCCAAAAAGTTCTACGTTTAGCCATATAGCAGTGTTCTTGTATCGTTTTTTGTTATTATAAGCAATGAAATATAAGCAATAACTGGTTGTTTAAACCAAAACAAATAAAAGTAACGCAGAGACCGGCTACATCAAATTTTTAAAATACTTTTCCTTTCTCTAGATATTCGAGTACAGTCTGAGCAAAATGCCACACAAACATGTTAATGGTTCAGATTTTTTACATTTTAGCATAAATGATTCTTATTGTTGAGGATACGATCGCAGTATATAGAACCTGTTGCTATAAATTATTAAAGAAACAAAAAAATTGTTAATGTGTATGAGCCATGGACAGGCTTATGAAAACCGAGGAGAACTTTGAAATTAACACTATGGTTCAAAAGGCAAAAGGGCTACTGAACTTTAAAAAATAATAATTTTCCTTGTAGCTCTAATAATTAGTTTATTATCATGCGTCAATAGGATTCTGAGATAAAATGGAAACTTAATTACTAACTGTAAATACGAAAACGTCTGACAGACAAGTTTTTTGAGGATGTACTTTGCGCATCCATTGATGATGCAATTATGCAAATGCAATAAATTTGTCATACTATAAATCATAACTGACATTCCTTTGGACCTGTCCTTTTTCAAAATTGACAAAATCACAGTTTTAGCTCGTTATTAAATAAAGTGGTATAAAGCAAAAGCAGTTTGAAGCTTTAAAATAAAGTATTTACTTCCTTGTTAAATAGAGCATTAAACAATAATTATTGTCGTTTTTATTTATCTTTTTTTAGAAGAAGATCATAAAGGTTTTTTCATGTCTAAACGCTATGTCAACTTAAGTAAAACAAACTTCAGTGTGAAATGTTGACAAAATCTGGGAAAATGCATGAAAAACGAAAATTACATCGTGTAATTTTCGTCCAAGTGCTGAGTTCAACACTTGGCTTAAATTTCAACCCGGTTGGCTGAAACAGGGTTGAACTCAGCACTGCATGGAGTTGAGCTCAGCACGAGGTTGAAAATTTGCCATACAATTGTGTGTCTGATATAACAAATATATCGTATAAAGACTGGGAGGAAATTCAACTCACTTAACGAGACTCATTTCATCTCAGGGTTGAAAAAGTGACCTTCCTGTAGCTCTATTAAGCAGTCCAATAATTATTAACGAACCAATAAGAATCTAGAATAAAACTGAAGCACGGGTCTTATTACGAACATAAACTAAAAATAGGAGACTAGTACTCATATTTTACCATTACTTTGTGATGGTTACAGGAGCTTGATAATCTAAACAATAGCTATAAAGAGTTAGACAATGGATTGTTTCCATCTCTTGGTGTTATTATTGGTATGGCAGATTTCAAGTATTGATATGTCTAAAGTGAACAAGGCAAGATATATTGAATGTATTGTTTTAAAAAACTATAATGAAAACGAAGCATTTTTGATTTAGTAGCCGCGTCGTATTTGTAGGAATTGTTTTTCTTTTTAATCATGTTCAAGTAGCAAAGATATATAAACTTTTTTATAAATAAATGTTTTTAATTGTCAAATACTCGCTCAAAGAAGTTTAATTTCCACTGAAGTAAAACTTTCATAGGAGAAATTCCCCGTAAAACTCTTTTTAAACTTCTGCTCAGACATGTTTTTACATATCTCGACATGTTCTGGCGGTTTATTTGTCATGTTTTATCGGATCAATGATTAATGGCGTCAAACCAAAAACGTAGACACGACACCAGAAATTTGCAGCGTAATCAAGTTTTAAAAACTTCATACACTTGCTATTTATTATGTTATGGTAAAATTAATATTAATAAAAAAGTCCAAACATGTTGAATATTTGGTTTAATTTTAAGGACAAGTTTGTTATTAACTAGGGTGTTCTAAAAGACGTAATAACAAGATGACATGAAGAAGAATATAAGAATGAATGCAAATTACTGGGCAAAAATCTTCAATAAATATTATACAAACTATTTTTTTCCATTCTGAAGTGTAAAAACTGCGTAAAAAACAAGTGAGTGGTATCACAGAATATTATTACAAAAGTGAGAAATTTCTATGGAAAAAATCTTTATTCAAAAGAGTTCGTAGTACTTAAAAATAAGTATAAAAAAGGAAAAGGCCTACAACTTATAATGTATCATCTATTAATTTCCACATATTGATTTATGATTTAGTGTGTATAGCTCAAGTAACCATATGTAAACTTACATGTCGTTCTAGTAATTGTAAAACCAAAGAAGTTAAATAATTTATTTCCTGTTATTAAGGACAATTGTTCAACCAGCTGCTGTGGAACAACAGGCATCCCAGGTGTCCCCGGTGTCCCCGGTGTACCTGGTGCTCCAGGAAGAGACGGGGTAAAAGGAGATGCTGGATCACCAGGAGAGAAGGGAAATCCTGGAAAAAGTAATTTAAAATTTACTAAAGGTGAGAAGGGAGATCCAAGAAGTTCCGGGTTACAAGGTATGAAAGGTGAAAAAGGAGAATCTAACGCTCATGCAAACGATGAAACATTTTTGTCTACATGGAAGCAATGTGCTTGGCGGAGACACGACGGTAAATTTCATGGATTGATACAGGTATGGTGAGCAAAACTAAATGAAAATTGTTTCATCATACTTGATTTGCTTTTTTTTATATAGAGAAAAAAGGGAAATGTTTATTTTATTATTTGGATGAAACTTGAATAATTAATATTTTTGTCTTAAACTTATTTGGAAAGTTTGGCGTAACTTAATGGGAAATTATCTACCTGAATTTAATTTTAGAACTGTGTATTCACGAAAAAGTTTGACAACACTTCCCTTCAAGTGTTTTATGGAGGAGGCTTGCAAATTTATGGTTGCAACAATTGTTGCAAACGTTGGTATTTTACTTTTAATGGAGTTGAATGTAAAAACCCTCTTCCTATTGATGGAATTCTTTACATGAACAATGGAAAGTCACAAAATATCCTTCGACATCGTCACATTGAAGGATATTGTAACAAAATCCAAAAAGGAAAAGTGCAAGTTGGATTCTGGATCGGCAATTGTGCTAGTTATGGTAACGCAGATGCATCCAGTGGATGGGAATCAGTTTCTCGTATTGTTATTAAAGAGGTTCCTCCACCACAAGAATAATTCCTTTATTCACTTCTTTTTAACTCTATTTTATGTTAAAGCTTCCGTTAAGTTAGAAATTCATGTGTAATTTATGACAATAAATCAGTTTTGTAATTTTAACGAGTTGAGTAAGTCTATTATTTACTCCTCAATGAATATTACAATTAATGCCAGATAAAACGAAAATAAGTTGATTAAAATTTTAAATTCAGTCATATAGAAGAGTAATTAAACTCACAATGACCTACATGAGTAAATATTTGTTTTAAGGAACTGTTTCACTCGGATCGTTGCTGCGAGTGAAAATTATTTCGCACAATCTGTGTTAAATGCTGGTTCACTGTTCTAAAACTTCACACTAACGATGGGACTGTGTTTTGAATATATAATTTTAACACTTCAATAAGATATTTACAGTGTTCTGCACGATTTTACATACCAAGCGTTGGTTCTTCGCGATACGGAATGATTAAATGGATCTCGATAATATTACGGACAACTGTCAATCCTAGAACTGCGTTTTCGAAATTTATTGCATTCTGCAATACGACTCTAATTTATCAAATTTGCATGAACAGTTCATACACCAATAACGTCAACTTTTCGAACCCCCGAACCAACGCTTGCAAGCTATATTTATGTATAATTATTCGGAAGTGGTTTTGGGCGTTTAAATATGACGCGCAACTTTGCCATTCCGTTTCTACCTACATCCTATATACGCATTGCGGTGAGGAAATGCTCTCTTAACATGACTTTTGTATTTTACATCAATTTAGTAATATCTGTTGTATCTTATAATCTATAATGTCAGGATGCTTCCTTGATTCTTGCAAGCACAGAGTCTTCGTTGTTAGGATGCTTCCTTGATTCTTGCAAGCACAGAGTCTTCATTGTTAGAATGCTTCTTTGACTCTTGCAAGCGCAGAGTCTTCATTGTTAGGATGCTTCCTTGATTCTTGCAAGGGCAGAGTCTTCGTTGTTAGGATGCTTCGTTAATTCTTGCAAGCGCAGATTCTTCGTTGTTAGGATGCCTCCTTGATTCTTGCAAGGGCAGAGTCTTCGTTTTTAGGACGCTTCCTTGATTCTTGCAAGCACAGAGTCTTCGTTGTTAGGATGCTTCATGCATTCTTGGAAGCGCAGAGTCTTCATTGTTAAGATGCTTCGTTAATTATTGCAATCCCAGAGTCTTCGTAGTTAGGATGCTTCCTTGATTCTTGCAAGCGCGGCATCTTCGATGTTTCGGAGCTTTATCGACTCATGGATTTAAGCTAACTCGAATCTATATAGCTAACATTCATCACATTTCAGTTAACTACGTATTACTTACAAAATCAAAATAAATAAAAAACAATTTATTTCCTTTATCAACCCTATACATCCTTCACAATAAACAAAGACTCCAAAGTCAGTTCGTTTTAACTTGACAAAATTGTAATGCAATGTTACAGGCTCAACTAACAACCACTCATTCATCACATTTTATCGTGAGCTAAGAATGCTAGAACTCAGGCTTTTTTCAATGCCACATGGAGATGACGTAATCTTTAGTAACATGGCCTAAGAGAGTCAGAACGAAAGCACTGTGTACTTTTCACTCAAACGTGACGTACTCACCTCTTGGTCACAAACGTAAAATGAATACACTAAAAAAAGCGAATTTCATTTCAATCATTTAGAGTTTATATTCCGTATTCATATATGTAGCGAAATCATCCTTACCACGCTCAATGTTGGTATTTTTTCTTAGTTTGATATTTTCTGCTTGAATATCATTGCTCTTTATTTTGTATACAAACTTTATTCAAATTTTAGTAATCGATATTAATTTGTCATTGGAAAATTTGATTAATTTCTTAACACTTGTGGCATCAGTCTAGATACTCGTCTTCCAAACATTTATCAGTGTACTTCTTGGTAGTAGCTTTAAAAGAAAATTATAGCCATTAAAGTTTAAGCATATTGTAGTGCGGAGATGGTGTTATTGTGTTGGTGAAAATAGCAGCATTAGCAAATATCAGAGCAGTAGTTTAACTTACAAATAAGTAAGTCTTAAAATCGTAACTTGTGACTTCCATAATTAACTGGCTATTTGTGATAAATTTTGAGATTTTTGTGACGCTGTAATTGTGAGGTAGAAATACAAGTCATACAAATGACTCAAGTACAACTCAAAAAAAATCATGTTTCTTACTGCAAACACTTTCTACTTTTAAGGAGTCATATTTATGTTGACGCCGTCATTCCAGTGGTAGACAACATGGAAAATCAATTTAGCAATTTTCGACTTAGCATAACAATAAATAGAATCTTCTAAAGAAAGATTTGACAGTGCGATAATATTCTCTCCTTTTATGCAAAGTAGACACTTATTTATTTTGACTATTTATATCAGAAGACACGTTATTAGATATAAGAACAAAGATTTATTATTACGTGGCATAAATTTATTTTGATTTGAAGTACACCTGCGAATATTTTTGCTGAAGGGGAAGTGAAGTTTGTTTTATTGTATGAAGTGAAGTTTGTTTTATTGTATGAAGCTAAGTAAAACCTATACTTTCTATATTGAATGACACAAAACTTAGCTAAATAAGGAAAATATTTCTGCCTAATAGAAATAATTCAAAATCTTGTCATTGCACTATTGTAACAGTATTTATCATATCATGCACACTATAAAGAAATTTTGTCTCATAGTACGTGAATGATTATAGGGACAAAGTGTTCTTGATAGCACAAGATAAAAACCCAAAAGATAACACTGTGAAGGTTTGTATATAAGATCATGGCACTTTTACAGCAATGCAAACGAAGTCGAGTCTGTGATGTGTACATAATGCGCACAAGAATGTCAACTAACTTCATATATAGACGTTTATGCTTGCATACTTATAAAGAATCCGCGCTGTTCACCATCAATCACGAATCAATGCCATACAAAACATGTTTTATCAAATTTTTATCGAGGCTGTTTTTACTGTTTTGGCAGTTGTCAACTTGGCATCATAGAGATATCGAAGATTTTATAGACCATCAATTGAAGCAGTTACGCTTGCAAAATAGCTTATAAACAATGAAAAAAATTTTGAGTTGATAAATAACAAAGAACTTAAGATATTTATAAAATGATCAATTAGTTATCAGTCGAAAATGCAAAATTTTCATTTCATAGCAGTTGCTTCTAGCAGGATTTAAAACTAATCATTCCTCCCTATTAAATGAGCTTCGACAATATACCTTCCTAAACCATTCCAAACGTGAAAGCTATATTGGCTTATAAATCAGTAACATTACGAAAAATACAACTATCACGTCAGACAAAAATATAGTGAAGAGACTAGAATATTATGCTGCGTACTTACTTCTCCTCTAGACTTTAATGAGTGAACACTATTAATGACAGTTGAACACATTATAGTTCCACCGAAACCTGAACCAATCATTTCGCCAATTAGCAAAAAACACGCGTGATCTGCACGATGTCCTGAAGCAATCACAATTGTCTTTTTTAAGTGCCACGCGTGCATGTAACTCATACGGATTTCAAAGTAAAAATAAACTTACTGTCAATGAATTAAGAACGTGCATTAGCAATGATAAAAATTTACTTTAATGTTGTTCCTTTAATGCTGTGTTAGAAGAACTAGATTATATGTGGTTGAGTGGTGCTAATTATTATTCTGTATTGCACCTGATATTTAGAATGCATTATCTAGATCATATAAAGGAGAGTGTCAATTACATACAAAATAAAGTTTTTGATTGAAGATCATACATTTAACAACTTTCATGGTCAAACATATGTCTAGCTAAAATGCTTTATACTTCTTGTTAAAAGCCAATACTCAGCAACCTGTAGGGGCTTTTGATTTGAGAATGGCTGGTGCTACAAAAAATAGTAAAAATGCAAGATATTTATCCAAATCATAAAAATGACGCTATAGCTGGCATGGAACTTCTTTTCAAAGTAATCACTGATGCAATTAAAGCAAAACAAATTAAAATAGTTTTACAATATCTATTTCTCTTGTTTTCATGCACTCGTTAACCGTTGTAGATGTGAGTCAGTATGATTAGAAGAAATTTTTGGTTTAATAAACATCCAAAAAAGAAGCTCGGGGTGATTTTTGGTGGTATCTTAAATATTCATAATCTATTCATATTCAACTGCAAATTTTAAGCAAACAATTCTATATTACCATCATAATAATGAATTTGCTTAAAGATTACGTGGTTACTCTACTCATTTCTCCATTATTAAAAAACAATGTTGCTGAAACGGAAATGAAGCCGTTTTATTGAAAATACTTAAAACAGAGGACTAAAGTTAGCTCTTCATTACAAGCAAAACAATTAATTGATGAGCACTTAAAGAAGTAAACTGAGGTGGGAAAATGATAAAAGTGAAGATGAATCTTTTAATGGTATCCATGTTGTTGCTATCAAATACAGTCAGTGCATCGTTTAAGAAAAAAAACTCAAAGGTTTGGAAGCATTAACTTTGTGAAATGGTTTGAGTTAAAATTTCGGTTCAAGAATCAAGTGCATATTTTAACGCAATAGTCTATTTTTAAGGTCGCGAGAAACTTTATTCGTGTAGTTTATTTATACTTCTTGAGTATTAAAATTATAATTTGCAAACTCTTTTGTATAAGCACCCAGCAAATAGATTCCTGTGAATTAAGGTGGAAAAGGGCGTTGTTTAACTCGGAACATCTCAAAGAAATTTACAAAAACAAGATCATATTATCAGTTGAGAAATACATTAGGATAGGAGAGATTTCAACGCAATTGAAAGAAGCTGTTATTATTCCTTCAACCATGTTGAATTTGAGCCACAATTCAATATTTATAGAACCTTCACTGTTTAGGTGAAAACATTTTTCTTTACCGTTTTCAAGGCTCAATGTTCAGCAAGCTGTGGAATTCCCGGGGTTCCAGGAGTTCCCGGTGTACCTGGAGCAGCTGGACGAGACGGTTTGAAAGGAGACGTAGGATCTAAAGGAGAAAAAGGT